TCAACTTGTAGCCAAGCATCTCACTGATCACTGCTGCCGTATTGTAGATCAGCTTGGGGTAATGTGCTCACGTTTTCGTGTCCTTGTCAGCAGGTGAGCAGCAGTATTCTGGACCATTTGCAAGCGTGATTGTGAAGCCTGATCAATACCAATATAAAGCGCATTACAATAATCAAGGCGAGTGGGCACAAATGCGTGTAAAACTCTCTCGAAGTCATAAAAAGAAATAAAAGGTTTGACTTTAGAAAGCTGCCTCAACTGAAAAAAGCTATTTCTCACCACTGTATTTATTTGTTTGTCCATTTTAAGAGCTGTGTCAATTGTTACTCCAAGGTTGGAAACAATTGGTTTCACACAGGAAGTGAGAGGACCCAAGTCAGATGGAGGCACACCAGGGCCACTCGGCCCAAATATAATGACCCCTGTCTTCTTTTCATTAAAATTAAAAAAAATTCAGAGCCAGCCATGCTCTGATATCTTTAAGACATTCTAAAATAGGCCTGAGGGGGTTAGGGTCATTGTGTTTCAGGGGTAAATAAATTTGACAGTCGTCTGCATAAAAATGATATGGAATTTTATGTTTTTTAATAATATGGCCAAGGGGAAGTAAATACATGCTAAAAAGAAGGGACCCAAGGATGGATCCTTGGGGTACACCACATGGGAGGGGGGCGGAAGATGAATAAAATTTATAAAATTTACCAAGTGAGATAGAGAAACTTCTGTCAGACAGGTATGACTTGAACCACTCCAAGGCAGTGCCTCTAATTCCAACATGATGTTCTAGGTGAGAAATCAAAATGTTTTTGTAAACTGTTGCCACTCCTCAACCTCAGCCGTAGTCCTCGGTGAGTTAAAATAGGAACAGTCTGGCGGTAATAGTTCCGAGAAAGCGCTTAACTCACCGTCACTTAGCCAGGTTTCTGTCACACAGAGGAAATCCAGATTATGAGAAGTGAAGAAATCCTTCAATATGAACGTTTTATTTGCTAACAACTTAGCGTTACCCAGAGCAATCCGGGTAGGGTCCATCATTGCGGTGACAGCCATCCAAGAAACCTGTTTCACTGGATTCTGCGGATTTACTCCACCGCAGCGAAGACGAGGTAAGAGAAGGCGGGGCGCAGGATCTCCTCAGCCGAGCCGACAACAGGTACCAGCTAGGTGGCAATAGGTTCCAGGAAGCAACGGGGGATGAAACGCCAGTGCAAAGGTCGGATTTCCGCCAGAGTGCATTGGGAAACTGTTCTGTCTCTGCCAGATGAAAAACCTAAATATGATTTCAATTTCACTAACAGCCCGCTGCGTTTTCTCCGACGTTTAAAGCGCTTCTTATGAGATGGGGTAGGGGTGTAGCCTAGGTGAGCCGGTACTCCAGAGAGTAGCGGAGGTGGGAAAAAGTCCTGTCCATCAGCGCTAGTCCTTACCAGTTTCTCTGTGGCAAGTTGAATATTTAAGAGAGTTTCACGATTGTAGATCAGTAGAGAGTCAGCGTTGTTCAATAAAAGTGACAAAAACAATATAAACACGCAGAGCAAAAGTGGATCCGACAGCCATGGACGGCGAGCCATGCACTCCGGCGCCATCTTGGATGTAGGACTTGGCTCTACTTTACTTTACGTCTTAATGCATGCGCCATCATCCAGGCAAGGAAATCCCAAAGGTTGATTCTGTCCATGTGGACGTAGTGTTGTCATTTAGATAAATGCTTCATCACTCATCCAAGTGACACTTTCTCCCACTGAAAACACTACGTCCACATGGACAGAATCAACCTTTTGGGATTCTGTACTGAACGTCCAGTTTCAGTCAGTCTCAATACAGAATACTGATATGACAATTTTGGTCTAGATTTTTTGGTTTAAATAACAAATAAAACGTTTTACTGTGCTGTAAATAACTTTTCAAACATTTTTTATGAGTATCATATAGACATATAGTACCTGATGTAACGTACCTTCATAACGGTCATTGTCTTGAAACAATTCAGCATTCTTCTTTAGCATCACATACGGTGCTTCCTATATACACAAACACATTGAAATGTTAACAATACAGTAGACTGGAGTATGAATGTGTGTGAGTATAGATAGAAAGCACTTAAAGGCATAAAATAGGTGCTTGTGTAAATGAGTGAATGAGTGCTCAGAGTAGTATCTTGCCCAAGGATGTTTGGCATGCAGCAGCCAGGAATCAACCAACAGTCTTCCAATTAGTAGATGAAAAGAACACTAAATAATACAGAATACTGAAATAAAATGCAAGATTATTAAAAATGCTAACTAGAATCCCCTAAACATCTCCAAAACTCAAAACCCTGGATCTAAACCCATGGCACTGTTTGTAACACAGTGGACCATCTCTTAAATTAGATCTCACTTTGTTGTTGTGAGATCATGCAAAATCTTGATGCTGTGTAAAAAATGTACAGACCAATCTCAAAGTATCATTTTACAGCAAAACTCTTAGAGAAGATTGTCTTCAGCTTCTTAAAAACAACATCCTTGAAAGAAATTCAGTCAGCATCACAATACTATGACTGTGTATTAGGTTACAAATTACATCTTAAAAACTGCTTGTATGGTGAATGTTCTAGTCTTGCACTACCTCACATAAGTTCAGCATTTCATACAACAGGACATCAAATTCTGGCTGCAGCACTGGGACGGTGTCTGGGACATCTCTGTGGTGGTTTAGACAAACTGTAAGTTTTTTGTTTCCATTGGTGACCGCAGGTCTGTGTAGTCTGGACTGAACTGTGGAGTCCCCCAGGGGACCTATCCTTTTTTCGATTATTTATGGTACCATTTGGTCACAATATACAGAGATACAACATTTCATTCGACTGTATCAAGAAGACTGAGATCCCTCAGCTCAGCTCCAACCAGAAATTAAGTCAATTAATTTAGTAACTCCAGCCTTTGTGGGTGTTATAATGTAACACAGAGCGACAGAGTTTTATGTATGCACTTTCAATGGGCAGTTATTCCTGCTGTAATCAAATCAGAAACCTGATCAAAACATAATCAAGAATTAACAAGCTGAATAATTTAATTTAAGGTGAATAAGAACATAATCATTACAATGAAATAATTCTAATGTTAAGAATTTGTTTTCTGTGCAGATGTGACCTTGAGCTCTGTGTGTGTGTGTGTAAGGAGTTAGACTAAACAATTGTCTGGGTGTGAGTAGAGTAGGCAGAAAGACAGAGAAATAGAAAGTTTTTTTTTTTTTTTTTAATCATGAACAACCAGAAAAGGTCGTTTTAAATGTAATGTGACTGCAGATCTTAACAGGTGTTAAAAAGAGAAGACAAGAAAAACAGATTTTTGGACAAAAAGAAGTAATCAGAAATGAAAAATACATAGAATGATAGAGGGAAACCACATATTTCTTTTTAACATGATAAGAAATCATGTTGGTATTATGCAAACTGAAGTATAGTGTTGAATAAACATGACAATTGTAATAAAATAACTTTTGCTATAGAGAATGAGGGGAGGGGAGGGGAGAAAGAGAAGAGGGAGAACCTCCCTCTTTTGTGAGGTTGTTATAGAATATTCTACCTTTAAAAATTAAAAGATCTGTCACGGACCCGGCTCCGGGGACTCAGGGTCCGTGAGCAGTGTGGACTATTATTTCTATTATTTGATGTGTGTGTCTTCTGCACGATGCTGTCATGTCTATGTTCCACATGTTGTATGTGTAGACAGGGTGTGTGTGTATATGTGTGTTTCTGCGGGTGTAGCCATAGCTGGACTGGCCATCGGGCATACCGGGCATTTCTGGTGGGCTGATGGTGATTTTTCGTTTTTATGGGCCGATGGTTTTTGTTTTGTTTTTTTTCGTTTTTTTCCCGTAACGGTATAAACACTGAAAGGTGGTGGATTGGCCAGATGCTGGGAGATGTGTAAAAATAACTCAGTTGTTTGGTGGTGGTTATTGTGGAGCTTCCACAGATTCAGTAACATTAGCAAGTGGTGGAGGCCAGCAGATGCAACACGCTGGCAGGTGGATGACGGAAAGGCAGGAGGAGCAGAGACCCGAGGCGGTGAATTGAACTTCAGGTAAGAAGTTATGAGCTGCAGTCTATCTGGGCCAGATATAAACCAAGTTTAGGTGGAGTTTATTTTCATTATGCTGACTTTTTACAGTCAGTTACAATAACTCGTACTGCGTACTAGCTAGCATGACGGAATTTCTATACAGCTGGGCGGGTGCTATGATGTTAATGATGTTGAACTTGTTTTATCTTATTTTATTTATAACTTCTTACCTGAAGTTCAGTTCACCTGACACTCTCGGACCAGCGGCCGCTTTGGGTCTCTCCTCTTGCCTCCCTTTTCCTTCATCCACCTGCTGGCTTCCACCACTTGCTAATGTTATTGAATCTGTGGAAGCTCCGCGATAGCCACCACACAAAGTAACGAATAACGAGCCTATCTAAATTCCAGTAACGAGTAACGCGTTCCCGATTTTGGCATAATAACTAGTTACCGAGCTCGTTACCACAATAATAACGTAGTTACTGTAAGACGCAACACCTGCACAAACAAACACATGGACATGCAAGTTCGTAACAAACGCGTTACTTAATAACGCGTTAGTCCCAACACTGCTGAATGCTTTCGGCAGATTTCCATGTGTACATCTGTAATGTCTGTATCATACAAGGCTTGAATAATCTGGTCCCATTTTATCTTAAAGACCTCATAGTACCATACTATTCCAATACAGCACTTCACTCTCAGACTGCTGATGTACTTGTGGTTCCTAGCGTATTTAAAAGTAGAATGCAAGGCAGAGCCTACAGCGTTCATGCCCCTCTTCTGTGGAACAAGATCCCAGTTTGGAATCAGGAGACAGACAGCCTCTTCAAAATGTCATGCTATTTTTTCACATTTTGGATCATCTTTACTACTGCACTATTAGAGAATAGAAGACAGAAAACGTTTGACATTGACTGACATGGTCAATTGTAACTCTATTCATGGGTTACCAGTATCGTTGTAACGATGACAGTCTTATTTTCCATTCCCATTGTGTCATTTGGGTAAAGGTCTGACTTTGTCAGAACCATCTTATCCACCTCATTCCAATACCCAATCTGTGAACAGACACAAGTAAGGTTATGCAAATATCTTGCACATACAAGCTAGAAAATGTGTTCTAATGATACATATTATGGCAACCTGATGTTTTAGTTACCTTAACAGGTCCATTGTTCCTAAGCTCCATGATTGTCACCGAATAGTTGATCCTTTTCCCGTACTGGTCAAACTGTATATTCCCTGTTAAACCATCTACATGCACCTGCATACACATTATTTGAATTATTAATGGCACAGCTTAAGAATGAAATTCAGTCAATTAAATTACAAAAATTAAAATGAAAATAGGCACTTTCTGGATCTCATGCACACCCACACCTCATGCACACCTGGTGGCTATAGTAGGATAAGTTAACAAAGGGCAACCCTACTTTTGGTCATCTCCACTGGTACCTTCACCACACACTACTTCCACTCAAACAAATGACTGATTGTGTTGCTAGAACAATTTTCAATTGATTATATTTTCAATTATATTTTCAAACATTAAATTTTAATAGCTTTTGACAAGTAACCAAATAAAAGACAGCAAGATTTTTCAACAACATCTCTGATCTAAACTCTTACACCTAGCTTTTATGATTTCTTCTTTGTGCATTCAAACTAAAGACATTCAAATCCTTTTTACCTGTTTGAGGGCACGCTCAATTTCCACCCCTTGCGCCCAGGGCACTGCTGGATTAGCTAGACAGTCCCCACTGTTGCCACGACGACTTATATCTATTCTTTGCTTGTGCAGGAATCGGAATGCCTCAGTCATCACATGGACTGCATCATAGGTGAGGGCTGAAGTATACTGAAGGACAAAAATAATGGCAAAAAATATAGTTTGGGGACATTTTACTTCATTTAACAGTTGCAATAAAGGCAATGCTGCAAGGGACCAACTGGCCAGGTGTCCAACCAGGGAGCTGTCTCTTAAGGAATTCTAACCTATGTCAAAATGTCTGATGTTGACTGTGAATCTCATAGAATTAACACGAAATTTCAGGTGATTGGATCAGTTTGAAAGGCAAAAGGCACCTGCAGGTGACGACGTATCGTCGACATTGTTGTGTTTGTTGGGGAGAAAACTTAGAAACATACAGTACAGCACTTCAGAGTCACACTGACAGCGATTGAAGATTTATGGAAATTTGACAAGCTGAACGCATTCTGTACTGTCAGGAGACACGGCGCAAGATTGACTGATATTAAAAAAAAGCATGCAAAATTGCAAACACAAAAAAAAAAAATATGCGAAACAGCGAGACTGCAAATGGTGAACCACGATATAGCAAGGGACCACTCATCAAGCATCAGCCAGATCTTTCTAACATAGGTTAGAATTCAAGGGATGAAACTATGACAAGGTTTCATCCCTTGTCATAGTATGGCATGAACTAACGAGCCTCCAAGCTGACATTTTTTATGTTGAATGTGGTGCAGTATTTTATTTGCCAGCTAAAAAGAAGGCAAAGAAGCTCTCAAACCCATTGATCATTTTCATATATGCCTCAGTCTAGCCTGAAATCTTCTAGAATTCCCTAGAAGTGCTACAGGTGTGACTTTTAATTTTAATGCACACCTAAGTCATGTACAACTCACTTTGATTAACTCAAGCTGTATGTATTATACTTGTTTATGTATTATACTAAAGATTACTTGATATTAGAATACATTTTTGCTGGCCTGATTCTTAGACCATCTCCCGGCAATCTTAATCCATTTCTTATAGCATATAACTTTTGCTGAAATAACTAAAACTCCACTAAATTAAACAAAAAAAAGATTGTTGGATGTCCAAATCTTACTCTAATCCTTATATCAGCTCCAGGATACTCCTTTTCTTCCAAAGCCTCCCATCGCTGATCAAACTTTGCCACCACAGGATCATCAAAATCTACAATCTGAAAGCCAGACACATTTGCACCTCCATACTGGATTTTAGAGAGGTCACCATCCACAAAACCCTGGAACAAGATCAACAAAATATACAATTACTGAAATTTACAAAAAGTTTATTTAATACTAATATGCAAACACTATTTTCTTCTCTGCTAAGATCTCATGCAGAGCAAATGATGTGCCTCCAGCTATGGATTTACTTAGAGCAAAGGTGTTAAACATAAGGCCAGAATCAGCAACATCTAAAAATACTGTTGAATGACACTGAGAATAGTCACAAAAGCAATCTAGTCCGCATGCCAATAGAGAAACGAGATATGGAATGAGTTATGACTAGTATACTCAGCAACTACTGCTCTATTATATAAATTGCAGTAGTGCAAGCAAAAGGTAGTCTTCTCACAGCATGTCTAAATGTGACTGCCTGCTTTAGGATCCCAGTTACTAAGTGTAAACCTGTTATTAGATCCTAATCTAAACTGAGTTATGTAAACCGTCGTTATTGTTAAACAGTCATACATAAATGGCCTGCAGTACATACATACAGTGGGGCAAAAAAGTATTTAGTCAGCCACCGATTGTGCAAGTTCCCCCACCTAAAATGATGACAGAGGTCAGTAATTTGCACCAGAGGTACACTTCAACTGTGAGAGACAGAATGTGAAAAAAAAATCCATGAATCCACATGGTAGGATTTGTAAAGAATTTATTCGTAAATCAGGGTGGAAAATAAGTATTTGGTCAATAACAAAAATACAACTCAATACTTTGTAACATAACCTTTGTTGGCAATAACAGAGGTCAAACGTTTACTATAGGTCTTTACCAGGTTTGCACACACAGTAGCTGGTATTTTGGCCCATTCCTCCATGCAGATCTTCTCGAGAGCAGTGATGTTTTGGGGCTGTCGCCGAGTAACACAGACTTTCAACTCCTGCCACAGATTTTCTATGGGGTTGAGGTCTGGAGACTGGCTAGGCCACTCCAGGACTTTCAAATGCTTCTTACGGAGCCACTCCTTTGTTGCCCGGGCGGTGTGTTTTGGATCATTGTCATGTTGGAAGACCCAGCCTCGTTTCATCTTCAAAGTTCTCACTGATGGAAGGAGGTTTTGGCTCAAAATCGCACGATACATGGCCCCATTCATTCTGTCCTTAACACGGATCAGTCGTCCTGTCCCCTTGGCAGAAAAACAGCCCCATAGCATGATGTTTCCACCCCCATGCTTCACAGTAGGTATGGTGTTCTTGGGATGCAACTCAGTATTCTTCTTCCTCCAAACACAACGAGTTGAGTTTATACCATAAAGTTCTACTTTGGTTTCATCTGACCACATGACATTCTCCCAATCCTCTGCTGTATCATCCATGTGCTCTCTGGCAAACTTCAGACGGGCCTGGACATGCACTGGCTTCAGCAGCGGAACACATCTGGCACTGCGGGATTTGATTCCCTGCCGTTGTAGTGTGTTACTGATGGTGACCTTTGTTACTTTGGTCCCAGCTCTCTGCAGGTCATTCACCAGGTCCCCCCGTGTGGTTCTGGGATCTTTGCTCACCGTTCTCATGATCATTTTGACCCCATGGGATGAGATCTTGCGTGGAGCCCCAGATCGAGGGAGATTATCAGTGGTCTTGTATGTCTTCCATTTTCTGATGATTGCTCCCACAGTTGATTTTTTCACACCAAGCTGCTTGCCTATTGTAGATTCACTCTTCCCAGTCTGGTGCAGGTCTACAATACTTTTCCTGGTGTCCTTCGAAAGCTCTTTGGTCTTGGCCATGGCGGCGTTTGGAGTCTGACTGTTTGAGGCTGTGGACAGGTGTCTTTTATACAGATGATGAGTTCAAACAGGTGCCATTCATACAGGTAACGAGTGGGGGACAGAAAAGCTTCTTACAGAAGACGTTACAGGTCTGTGAGAGCCAGAGATTTTCCGTGTTTGAGGTGACCAAATACTTATTTTCCACCCTGATTTACGAATAAATTCTTTACAAATCCTACCATGTGGATTCATGGTTTTTTTTTTCACATTCTGTCTCTCACAGTTGAAGTGTACCTCTGGTGCAAATTACTGACCTCTGTCATCATTTTAAGTGGGGGAACTTGCACAATCGGTGGTTGACTAAATACTTTTTTGCCCCACTGTAAATATACTTGGTCAGCCTCATTTAAAGACTGGAAAATGACTCACCAAGTTTGCGATGATATAGTGATATCCTTTCACGTGCCTGCCTATAGTGATCACCTGGTGAATAAGAGGAAGAGGTTATGTCAGCAATAAACAACTATTTTAAATGGTTAACAGGTTAATTATCCTAACCCAGAAAGAAACACTAGATGCTTCAATTCACTGGAAAAAAAAATCATAATTTTTGGAGATACATGGTATGTAATTTTATTTATATAACACTTTTCTACTCTTACTAACCAGTCATAGAACATCACATTTTCCCTGTGCTTTCAAGGAGCACTTTATTGTATTGTCACCTTTCTCCCTTACTATATGTCAATAGACCTCTCTGCATGGAATCATACTTGTTATTAATCTCTGGCTTTCTTCCACAGCATGTCTTTTGTCCTGTCTTCCTTCTCTCACCTAATCGGTCAGGACAGATGTCCACCCCTCCCTGAGTCTGCTTCTGCTGGAGGTTTCTTCCTGTTAAAAAGGAGTTTTTCTTTCCCACTGTTGCCAAAGTGCTTACTTGTAGAGGGTCATATGATTGGGTTCTTCTCTGTATGTATTATTGTAGGATCTACCTTACAATCCAAAGAGTTTAATTTTGGTCTCTTTCTGACCAGACTGTACTCTCAGTATTTCACAGGCTTGCCTAAATGTTGTTCAGAACCTTTAAGCATGCTTCAACATGTTTTTTCTTCAGCAATGAATACTTGAATGGTGAGCGTGCATACTGGCCATGTTGGTTGAGTGCACTACTTATTGTTTTCTTTTAAATAGTACCTGCTGATTTCAAGTCTTTCTGTAGCTCTCTTCAACTGGTCCTGCCTCTTAGACAACTCTCCAAAAGTGCTCACTGGGACGTTAAGTTGTTTAGAAATTTTTCTGTAACCAATGCCATTAGCTGGTGATTTCAGCCGGTGTCACGACTTTCTATCTGTGTCATTTCTTATTATTACACATAATTTATGGACATATATGATCTGATTTCTTTGCATGTATGGATTAGAGTGTTACAGACATCTGGTCATGTCATGTCATGTCAATAGCACGTTTAGAAATATATCTATTTAAAAAATTGGTTTTGTCTTCATTACATTTTACATTACATTTTACCAGGTGAATATTTCCCCAAAATGCAAAAAGAAAATATTTTTAACATGAAATTCTTAGCCACAAACATGTATGTGTTTTAAACCTAACCTGAATTATAAGACAGCTCTGGGGCAGTAGGTCGGGAAGGTATTGAAGATGAAACAAATGCTCATATTTAACAATTTTTTTTCTCAGTTATTATGCAAGTAAATGTGGATACTCCAAAATTTGTTTCTTTTCAGATTAAACTGCTGATAATTTTATTTTTCTGGTACAAAGTTGAATGAAAATAGAATTTTCATAATTTTCGTAAGCTCCATGTTTTATTTTGTATTATTGTGAGATATAACTATCAACAATTCAGAAATTGCCACAAGTTGCATTTTGCAATGAGAAGTTTTTTTTTTAATTAATGTGTGTTCAAATAATGGATTTTAAAGGAATACTTAATTTTTTAAATATTTTAATTACCCAATGCTTAAACTGTCTTTAGTGTAGCTGCCAAATTACATTTCATGTTCAAGCATTGCTGCAGATTTAAAATTTGATGGTTCAGCAGATTTAAAAAAAAAAAAAATTTAAAAAAGAGAGGAAGGCACTCACATCACTTAGTGATGACAACAACATTATCATCCTTCCGGCAGACAAGGGTAGGTGCAGAGTATTGCTAAACCAGAAAGACTATTATGAGAAGATCTTGTCACTACTCAGTGATGAAAATACTTATGAGCCCCTGAAACAAGATCCAGGGAGTGGCTGCAGGAATAGGGTAATAGACTGTCTGAAGCAGTTAGAACAAGACAAGGCTATCGACTACACCAAGTCTGTATGGTTTACCGAAAATACATAAACAGGGTGCACCTTTAAGACCGACTGTCTGCATGAACAACTCTGTCACCTATAACATCTTTAAGTTTCTGGCTTCGATCCTCAACCCACTGGTGGGCAGCTCTGAACTCCACATCCAGAGCACCCTGGATTTTGTTGAGAAGGTGAGAGATGTAACTATGGAGGCAGATGAAACCATGGTCTTGTACAACGTTACATCTCTCTTCACTTGCATCCCAGTCACGGAAGTGTTGGAGATAGTCCGTAAGAGATTACAGGATGACACCAACCTCAGCAACAGGACCACTCTCAGCATCGACCAAGTGTGTTTGCTTTTGCAACCGTGTCTTCATTCCACCTACTTCACATACAAGGGTCAGTACTACAGGCAGAAACATGTGTGTGCCATGGGTTCCCCAGTTTCACCCATCGTGGCCAATTTGTACATGGAAGAAGTGGAAAAGAGGGCTTTGCTATCCTACCCTGGAACACCACCAAGCCATTGGTTCAGATATGTGGATGACACCTGGGTGAAGATCAAATCTCAGGACGTACTACTTTTCACGGATCACATTAACTCGGTGGACCGACACATCAAATTCACCAGGGAGGATATGAAAAGTGGCAGGTTAGCCTTATTAGACTGTGAGATTTCCATCAGTAATGGGGGACATCTAAAAGCTGACGTGTACCGTAAACCTACACATACGGATCAGTATCTAAGGTTTGACTCTCATCATCCACTGGAGCACAAACTGGGTGTCATCAGGACACTACAACACAGAGCAAACACCATCTCCACTGACACAGCGGCCAGGGAGGCAGAAGAACATCACATCAAGAAGGACCTGAGTAAATGTGGTTATCCCAACTGGACTTTTGTCAAAGCTGGGAAGGCACCTAAAGAAAGCTCCGCCAATCCAGGAGAGAAGGACAACCGCTGCCCAAGCAAAAACCTGTAGTGATCCTGTACGTGTCAGGAGTATCGGAACAGTTGAGACGCATTTTTTCTAAACACCGTGTCTCTGTGGGTTTCAAACACCTCAAAAAATGCTGCGCCAAAAATTGGTCCACCCCAAGGATCAGGTCCCCCGACACAAACAGAGTAACATAGTGTACGCTGTTAAGTGCCAGGAGGATTGCCAGGATTTATACATCGGGGAAACCAAACAACCTCTGGCGAAGCGGATGGCACAACACAGAAGAGCTACCTCGTCAGGCCAGGACTCTGCAGTCTATTTACACCTACAGGCCAGTGGACACTCTTTCAATGATGAGGATGTAACATCCTGAACAGGGAGGAATGCTGGTTTGAGCGCGGAGTCAAGGAGGACATTTACGTGAAAAGGGAAAGACCATCTCTGAATCGAGGAGGGGACCTAAGGGTACATCTTTCGCCATCTTACAATGCTGTGATTGCAGCCATTCCCCAACTCTCTGTGAATGTTACTCATGGCCATTGATCAGTGGGCTTTGATCAGTGGGTTTTGGTCAGTGGTTGTTGATCAATGGTCATGAGAATTTGCATAATTATGATTAAGGAACTGACCTCCCAGCCCATTGTTCCTTCAGTGGGCTGGTTTCAGTCATTATGCAAATGTACTGTTTATAAGATTTGGGGAAACCTGCAGTCAGCTGAGACTGAAGAAGTCACTTGGATGAGTGACGAAACATTTCTCCCACAAAACGCTACGTCCAGATGAACAGAATCAACTTTTGGAATAAACAAAAAACGTTTATCTGAAGTCTCACTTTGCTTCTGGTGATTCGACACATAATTTTTCATCACTGATCAAATAGAGTTGGTAAGATATACCACCACTGTTTCTGTCTAGTTGATAGTAGACTTTTCTCTCCACCTATCTGGGACTGTAAGAGGAACATGTTGCAAAAATAGTTGTGTTATATTGTTGAATGATCACTGTCTATTAACATTACAGATTACAACACTTTGCAGAACTAATAATACTTGCTGCCTAGCTCCCACATTAAGATTATTATTTTATTATTGGAAATAGCTGCTACTTTAATGCTAACTTAACAGATGGGTAATGTGGCTCTTGAATAACTGCTACAAGTTTAACAGTTGTGTGCAGTAGCCAAGTTAATGTTTATGATAACTGTTTAATACATTTTTTTTAGAAACATGGGCTTTAGTGACCTTTCAAAAGTCTTCATGACCCTAATAAACTTTTCTGGTTTGTAAAAAGTTTTCAGACTCAGATAGCAGTAGTATTGGTATCAATACTACTGCTAATGTGTATCCAATAGCTATTTTGATTCATATCAGAGTATTGATTTCTATTGTAACCCTACTCCACAGAGTAACAGTGCTAACAACTGTACCACCATGCTATCCGTATAGCAGCTTCTATTTAGCTACTTTTCTTTGTAATTTTTTTTTGTCTTCTGTGACAGAGATGCAACATATAGGGTTCATACAAATATTTAAAATCAGTCAAAACAAGTCCCCTCCCCCAGAATTAACTGACTGTTTTTTATGCATTTGTCATATTTTCAAAATGTTTAACAGCTTGTGCTTTGCAGATTTAACTTGCAGCATTTGCAGATGTCATGAGCAACATGCCCAGTTCTGATAATTGTGACATTATCAAAATAGGGTTTTCCAAATGATTATCATGAGCTGGTACCGTAAAGCAGTTAGCAGATAGGGGTCTAATTTTAGTTTTGATCACAGTTTTGATCCAGCCAATCAAACCAAGCTGAAAAAGAAAATCCAACTGTTTTCTAGATTATCATCATTACAGTGTAAGTTAACACTAATAATTATGTAGCAGCCATCTGCATGTGAACAGTGAAAGTTCTACGCGATATCATTTTGCTAACCATGTAGAAAAGACAAATACTGGATACTAAGCACACATCATTTCCATTGTTTGCCATCTGATGATGGAAACAGGCCAACAGTACTTACCGAAGAGGAAATTAACTCTGCCAGAATAGAATTTGAAAGATTTCAAAATACGTATAGTAGTTTCATTTAATTGCTATTTAAGAAAATTTAAATGACACAGACACCATCATGACTAGTTCATGTCTGGTCTGGTATCACACCTAAAAAACATCCAGGATAACCACAATACTGTTGGTTTCACTGAACAAAAGTCTCCAATAGTATGTTTTGCATAGTTTCATTACTTCTTTTACACAGACACACACATATAGAAATATTATCAGTTGACTCTGAGTTGGTTGGATGAGAGACATTCACTGTTTTTTAAGGAATGCCCAGTAAAGAATGGATCTATAGAATCAGCTTAATTTTTGATGGAGAGAAAATATTGCTCATACTGGTAGCAGCAGTAACAAGATAAAAATCAACCTGCTCCATGATGTCTTTCACTTTATCTTGTTCGCAGTCCAGTATGATGCGTCGTTCCTTACGGATCTCCAGGTCCTAAAAAAATAAGACAACAAGCATCCAACATTATTACACAGTCTTTAAAGATTTGTGTGCTCACAGTACAAGATCAAATTGCATCTTCCTGAGGTGCAGTGCTGCCACATACTGCTTGACACCATAGGTTAGACAAAGATATTTATTATAACTAGCTACAAAACCCTGAAAAGCTTTCTGGAAAAGACAAACTAAAAGCTTAAGCTTATTTTAGTATTTAAAACAAGCATATGTAAAAACAATAGATAACATCAAAGCAAAGTATACTCTACAATGCTGTACAGCTGCTACACTGTACAGCTGACAAAGCCCTTTTCCCAAGACATCACAGACCAAGTTTTGGTCAGGACCCATAGGCTTCAAATTGTAAGGCACTAGCTACTGTGTCAGTATGTGGTGGGAGTGGGAATGTGCTGAGCTAACTTTAGAATAAGTGCATAAAAGCAGGTTTTTATTTTTTGAGGGTTTTTTTATGTCCTTTCAATCAGCGATCAGAATTATTGTCTAAACACCAAGAAAAGTGCCCAACAGATTTGTTTTCCCAAGTAGACCATTACAGCTATTGCTATACGGTCCACTTAATTGTCATATTTGTTTTTATTATTATTATTATTATTATTATTATTATTATTATTATTATTATTATTATTATACGTTTTTATTAAATTTTCATTTTGAGTTATTACAATCAGAATGGACAGGACCGGGGACAGGAAAGAGAAAGAAAGAGAGGTTGGGAAGAGAGTTAAATGAAGGAGAGGGGAAGAAAAATAGAGGAAAAGAGGGATAGTGAGAGAAAAGACACTGAAAATCTGCTTGATCACCTGCTGAGAGAAAAAAAGACAACCAAAAAGAAGATAACACAGTAGGGAAACCACAGGTAAATAATAAATATTGAATGTTACTGAGCAGCATACAGTACTAATAATGCATGAAATGTTTAGAGGCATCAGCCAACCAAAATAGTGTGTGTCTGTGAGTACCTGTTTGTACACCTGTGTGCACACCTCTGTGTGTGTGAGCGTGCTTATGTTCATAGGATTTCTCCATGTAAGCATCTAATAGTGGGTATTGGAAGCCATAGCTCTGCCCCCCAGGGCATGATGCAGGACAAAAAAACATCCATCCATCTGCTTCCGCTTTTTTCAGGTCGTGGGTGGGGGCTGGAGCCCATCACAGCTGTCTTAGGGTGAGAGGCAGGGTACACCCTGGACAGGTCACCAGTCTGTCGCAGGGCTAACACACAGAGACAGACAACCATTCACACTCACATTAACTCCCCTTTGGGCAATTTAGAGTTTCCAATCAACCTATCCTCACTAACTGCATGTATCTGGACTGTGGGAGGAAGCCGGAATACCCGGAGAGAACCTACGCAGACACGGGGAGAACATTCAAACTCCACACAGAAAAACCCCAGTTGAACTCAGGAGCTTCTTGCTGTGAGGCAACAGTGCTGTTTGGCTTCTCTGAGTGTTTAGTCCATTTTAAATTCTGTTACCTTCTGTTAACCTACTTTCATGTGTTCCCTGGACTCTTAGACTCTGTTACCTTTCCTTCATGGAATTCCTTTTGGACTGCTTCCGCTACTATTTATTGTACATAATAAAGATGTTTTTTTTTCTGGAAAAATCATCATTCCAGAAGAGGGTTGTATATGATGAATGGAGGGTCCTTCACCAAGGGGAAGAGGTGGCTGTAGCTCAGAAGGATGCCCAGGCCATCAACTAATAAGAAGGTTGGTGTTCTGATCCCTGGCTACTCCAGTCTGCGTGCCAAATATCCTTGGGTGACATACTAACTACAAGTTGCTTTCTGATGCATTCACTGGAGTGTGAATGTTAGTAGTTAGGAAATAAAATGCTCAGATGCTCAGCACTATATGAGGACATTTTGCTTTTTAGATATTGATAAAATGTTTTCATATAGCTGGATTAATGTGACTATTTTATTTTCATGTCAAATAGTTGGACTGAGTGCTGGTGAAAAAAAGACTTGTTTTGTAAAAACACTTTTTTGAGAATTGTGAACATGGTTTAAATAAAATAACTGAAAAAACCATATGGAGTTATTTCAACATTTATCCACTGAACTGTGAACAAAAAATAAAAAGACTGAATTCTTGGAACAATTCTCCAACTCATTTGAAGAGAGAAAAAAAAGGAAAGAGAAGCTTGTTTGTTATAATCTAGCCAAAATAACTTAAATATTTCGGACTGTGTCATTTGCTAAATTACTATGGCATAGTCAGGATTTTCACATCAGGCCAACTGCAGTGCATGTACTTGCCAAAGAATAAATAACATAACAGAAGACACTGTTGAAAATGCTGGTTAGCAGCCTAAACTGATGAAAAAGCTGTTATGACCAAAACTTTAAATTTGTGTCTAAAATTTGATTTTCTCCGCCTCTCTCTTGCATTCCAATATAAGAGCAGAATACCAGTACCTGAAACAGGGACCGGTAGGCTTCATCCTTTCTCTCATCTTTCAGGTTTCCTACATTTATTGCAGTGACGACCCATTTTTTCTCTGCTGCAGTGTCCAGTATTACCTGAAGAGTCGAAAGACCTACACACACAGAGTCTCATTATTAATAATTAATAATTCATTAACTTATACATTTGTAGAACATATCTCTATCTCATTCTTTTCTATTTATATGAAGCATATTTCTCTGCCTTGCTGTGCTTTCTATAACTGTAGCAAGTTTCTGCATTTGCTTAACATTTTCTGTATTTACAATTATTTCAGTATCTTATCTTCAAAATTAAGCACTAGCAATATTTATGCGATAAATAATGAGAATTTCCTTACCTCGATCACTGTCATACAGATAGGCAAACTTTTCCCATTTGTAGTATTCCACTAATGAAACTAGTGGCCCCTTGATGTCCGGCCTCATTTGGAGAACAAACTGATTCATTCCTTCTGCTGGGAAAGAAGGTGTAATGAAGGAGACATGAAGTGTCTCACAAAAGGATGTGATGGTGTTGACCGATTTCTTGTCATAGAAGCCAAAAATGGCATAGACACCCCGAGAGAACTGGGAACAAACTAGGAAAGAGAGAAGAAGAGAAAGATTGTACAATTTAAACAGTGAGTTCAAAGGACCTGGGAAGAATATTTGCACTCATTAAGTGTCCCAGTGCCTTTATCCCAAATAAACACTAAACGCACACTTATATTTAATCACATTGAAGAACAGTTTTTAAAATTGGGGTACATTAATAAGCACAGCAGTTACAATAGGAGTGGGAATTCTGTGGTTCACAATAACAAGTAAAATAAAATATTTCTAAAACAAAGCAACACAAAAAATTTTAAAAAAGAAGTGCTTCTGTCCAATTAAAAGCTAGAGGGCTTTATATCTGATATAGACAGTGCTAAGTTTCTATAAGCTGCATAAAACAGTATAAGAGGCCAGGTGTAATAAGCTATAACCAGTTACACTTAAGAGAAGAAAATTAAAATGCCAGTTCCAATCATCTGTTGAGAAAAAATGTATGTATTTTGTGTCAGCATACATGATCCAGCTGTGTGGCTGCAGGAAGGTGAATTATTCTGAATGAGAGAATTGGTATTAAGTATCCCACTGTGGAAAGTGACGTCGGCGTGACGTCTTTCATAAATCATTTTCCAAATTTGGTCCACTGAAGGGGTTGTTTTATAACACCAGGCAACATCTTTTTTTTCCAAACTCTGCTGAAAGTATGTTGTTGTCAGCGGTACGGCCACGGTGTACGGGCTATTTATAGTCCAAATATGGTTGTTGTGGATGTCTTTTCAAAGTCAAACTTTGACTCATTTTAGAGATAATTTTTATCTCTAAAATGAGTCAGAAAAACCACAAACCTCTCTTACTTTCCATCACAACTTCTCCCACCTTCGTATGATTGGGTTTTTCTCTGTATGCATTATTATAGGGTCTACCTTACAATATAAAGCGCCTTGAGGCGACTGTTGTTGTGATTTAATAATGATAATGGATTGCATTTATACAGCACGGTTCCGGGCACCCAAAGTGCTTTACAATTCCACTATTCATTCACTCTCACATTCACACACTCGCTGTACAACTGGGGCAGACTGACAGAAGCGTGCCATTGGCCCCTCTGGCCAACACCAGTAGGTGGTAGGGTAAAGTGTCTTGCCCAACAACACAATGACCAGGACAGCAAGAGCTGGGGGATCGAACTGGCAACCTTCCAGTTACAGATGAGCTTCCCAACCCCCTGAACCACAGTCGCCTCAATTTGGTGCTATATATATATAAAACTGAACTGAATTGAATTGCCTACCTGGAATTGGCATAACTGTTATGCTAATTCCAGCATACAAGCCCCTGGTCAAAGTCACCAAACCAGTTTGTAAGCAGGTACATATGTGGTCTCAGAGACAATGGAAGACTGTTTTTCCACCACAGACTGGGAAGTCTTTAAACAGGCCGCCACACGTGACAACACCACAGACCTGCAGGAATAATCAGAAACTGTCATTTCCTATATCTCAGAGTGCATCGATGATTTCCCAGAGACCAGGACTATCACTATCCAGGCCAATCAGAAACCATGGCTCACAGGTGAGGTCTACAGGCTTTTGAGGGAGAGAAATGCAGTCTTCAAAGCTGGGGATTAGGTGAGCCTAAGAACAGCAAGGGCAAACCTGCATCAGAGAAGTGAAAAGGCAATACTCCAGGAGGATTTCGCAAAGCTGGACGAGCACAGAGGGACTGTGCTGCAGAACTCACAGATGTCTTCACAGACATCTTTAATACATCACTGAGCCAGGCTGTCGTTCCCACATGCCTCAAAGCCTCCACCATCATTCCTGTACCAAGGAAGTCTCCTCCATCCTGCTTTAACCCTAGAACACTATCGCTATAAATAGTAACACGATCACTAATGCCGGGTGATTTATACCCGGTATAATATAACCAATGAAAAGTAATCAAATATATCAAAATATGACAAGACATGACAAATTAGAGTGGTCTTCTTTTACTTTCAACTGTGCCATGTCTAACAAAATGAAAAATAAAACTCCTAAAACAAAATAATGACTCTGGAAAGCTGGTCTTTGGTCCACCCATTCCTGGGACATTTGAGACTTCCCTGGTGATGGCACAGGCTCCTCGACACGCAAACAGCTTCAGGAGAGAGAAATCATGTAAATGTATTTTCTCGGGTGTAAATCACCCAGCGATAGTGTTCTAGGGTTAAGAACTACCATCGGATCACACTCACCCTCAAGTGCTCTGAACAGTTAGTCATGCATCCATTTAAAACATCTCTTCCCCCCAAACTGGATCCATTTCAGTTCATATACCGGTCAAACCACTTGACGGATGATGCATTCTCAAATGCCCTTCACTCAGCCCTCACACATCTGGACACTAGAGACGAGTGAAGTTAACCATCTGGCTGAGTGGTGCAGTGACAACAATATGCCCTGAATGTGGAGAAGACTAAGGAGATCATCACACCCTGCACACCCCACTAACCATCAATGGTGCTGCTGTGGAGAGGGTAAGCAGCACCAAGTTCCTGGGTGTGCACATCTCAGAAGATTTCTCTTGTTCAAAAAACACAGCATCACTTGTCAGTAAAGTCCAACAGCAACTCTACTTCCTCCGCAAACTGGAGAGCAAGAGCCTCATTCCCATTGCGAGCACCTTCTTCAGAGGCACCACTGAGAGCAGCATCACTGTGTGGTATGGCTCCTGCACTGCAAAGTAACGAGTAGTGAGAGCAGCGGAGAGGATTGTGGGCACTTCTCTTCCCTCCCTCCAGGACATCTACTTCACCCGCTTCACCTGAAAGCCCTCTGCATTACAGGTGACTCCACTTATTCATCCAACAGCTTCTTCAGTTTGCTGCCATCGTAAAAGAGACTGAAGAGCTTCTGAGCCAGAACCAGCAGACTGAGAGACAGCTTCGTTCATCAGGCTGTTAGGATGCTGAATTCACTCCCTGCTCTGTCCCTCGCAACTCTCACACACACGAACTCCAGACCTGCATTCACCTCTTCCCTCTGAACCCCCCCAGACTTCTACCGACGCCTTTTCACTGACTGCCCCACCCCCACTTGCACACAAACTCTTGCCAAAAAGCACTCTGATTGTGTTGGACACTGTTGTTTATGTAAAATTGCATTGTGCTGTACATAAGACTTGCATTTTATTTTTATGTTTATATTGTTTTAGTGTACACTGAGGGCCGTGGGAGAATTGCAGTTTCAAATTCCTGTGTATCAGCTTTGAGGTTTCAGAGCATGTCACAGTACTGAAACAGCTTTAGTGAAGAATACAAATAATCTTCTTATATTCCTTCTTATATTTTATCATTAGAGAATGTTGTAGGTATTAGAGGTACTGCACTGCAATGGTTTAAATGGCATCTATCTAATACACTTAAATTTTTATGTAAATGAAGAGTTAATTATGGAGTTCCACAGGGTTCCATGCTAGGACCAATTGTATTTCATAATATGTTTGCATTAGGCAGAATCATTAGAAGGAATAGAAAACATTTCCCACTGCCTTGCAGAGGACACAATTTTTTTCTATCCATGAAACCAGATAACACACACCAATAAGTTAAACTACAGAATCATGGACATGTCCTTCAATGTCCATATTAACAAATATGTAGCACTGCTTTGTCCCATTTGCACAATATCTCTAAAATTCAAAACATCCTGTAAGAGTGCTGAAAAACCAGTTATTGCATTTATTAATCCTAGGTTGGACTACTGTAAGTCATTATTATCAGGACGTCCTACAAACTCCCTGAAAAGCCTTCAGTTAATCCAAAATGCTGCTGCATACTGTACTGAAAGGGACTAGAAAGACAGAGCATATTTTCCCAATACTGGCTTCACTTCAGTGTCTCCGTGTTAAATCCAGAATCAAATGTAAAATCATTCCTCTCACATGGAAGGTCTTGAATAATCAGGCCCTATCCTGTCTTCAAGACCTTACTGTACCGTATCACTCAAATAGAGCACTTTGCTCTCAGACTGTGGGCATACTGTGGTTCCTAGGATATTTAAAAGTAGAATGAGAGGCAGAGCCTTCAGCTTACAGGAGATTTCTTCCTGTTAACAAGGGTTTTTTGCTTCCCAGTATCACCATAGCTCTTGTTCATTGTCAGTCATCTGATTGTTGGGGTTTTCTCTGTTTTCTCTGTATTGTTTCCCTGTTGTGATTTAGTGCTATATAAATAAAACAGAATTGAAGGGTTTAGGGTTAGGATGAACAGCCACAGCACACTGCACAACTATTGCCATGTTTGTATTTTTTTAAATTTCAAGTATTATTCTAGACTTTTAAATAATGACCCAATAAAAATAATTCTTTTTTTTTTTTTTGTTTAAAAATGAAGAGATCAATACTTACAGCAGTTAGTAACAGCAAAGCTGTTGGCCACCTCCAGGTTATCTATGTGTGGAGTTAGCCTGAAATCTGCCATCCCAAACTGAACCATGCCAACTCGGAATGCACTGTACTCCTGATCTGCGCCTCTGGGAAATAAACCACCTGAGAAAAACAGAGACAGAAAAGGTCGTGATCATAAAGAAAAACAAAACTAAGTGGAGAAACAGGTTTTCTAGCTACAAACATGTTGAGATAGGGACATTTTTACCACTTTATGTCTTAAAAAACAACAACAAAGAAATTGCAATCCTTCATTAACAATTGCTAAATTTTATATTCGTCAAAATGTTTTTATAATGTGATATGGAATCTCAGCAGTTTAGGCTCTCCTTTTTCATATTTATTGAGTTATTTACTTTTTTGTTTGTTTGTTCTATATTAGTTCAAATGTTCTGCATTTCTCTCATAAACTTCATACCTACCTGACACCTCCTCATCACCTTTCTTCCATTTACCTACATGTCCACTGAAGTCTGCTCCAATCACCAGTCTTTTCCACATGGGGAAACTTTCTACCACTTCAGCTAGCTTACTTCAGAATCCTTCTCTCTCTCTCTCTCTTGTCTGACAACCTATGCATTAAGCCAAGCGCTGGCCAATCCCATATGGAAATCTTATTATTTATCAGCATGTTTGATTTGGTAAATATTTTACATTGGGAACCCTTCCTGACCCAGAACTCCCCGGTTGTCTGGGTTTAGGAACAGCAATAGAAATACTAATCAGTAATTCTGAGCTAGAGTCTGCCTGAGACAGAGATATCTATCTCAGGCAGACATTGTCTCTCTAAAGGACATATGTCCAAAAAATCGGTACATACATTCACCACTCCACAGTTCACTCACGTTTGTCCTGTTACAACTCAAAACAAAAAGGCAGAGTGATGCTAATTAAAAGAAACATAAACATTACCATTAGTAAGACTGTAGCAGAAGTGGAAGGTAGATTTATAACACATAGCTCTCTGCGGTATTTCACCTTTAACAATGGTTTACCTTGCCTTCTTTCGCCTCTGTCAGTGCGCCCCAGGGTGGCTGTGGCTACAATGTAGCTTGCCATCACCAGTGTGTGAATGTGTGTGTGAATGGGTGGATGACTGGAT